CAGGCGATGTCGCGGGGGAGGGGGATGACGACGACCCATTGGTGAACACGTTGCGCCAGCGGAATACGCGGGAAGGAATGGAGGCGGCGACGAAGCTGTGGGCGGATGACCTCCGCTTCTGGAACGAGAGGGAGGGATTTGCCATCGTCAAGTTGATCGCGGAGGCGCGCGGTTATCTTGTGGCTGTGGCGCGGGGAGAGCAGCCTCCGCCCATTCATCGCAGCATCGTCTTGCCTCACAACAGCATCCTGCAGCACAAGATCGCGGACGAGTCGGAGTTAAACGCTACGAAGGAGAGGGCGCTGAAGGTTCAGGGGATCCCTTTGCGGGTGATACACGGGTGGGTGTTCAAGTCTCAGAACAGGCAAAGGGGGTACCACGCGGCGTACCAGTACGCACTCAACCACGCGGCCACCGACATCGCTCGCGCGATGTGGATGGGGGAGGACTGGCGTTATTGTGTGAGTCCGATGGTCGTCCACCACACGCTCGACATGGATATGAAGTTGCCTTTGTGGTTCGTGGGCGCCGACGTCGAAGACAGGCACGAGGACGACGGCTTGGCGGCTTATCAGGAGGCAAGCATCCACCGACTGGTGGGGGCTTTCACGAGCGCCGTGATCATTGCGGAGGCGACGGACGGCGGCCGTGTATCGCACGAAAGGTTGAAGACCATGGCCGACGCGATGTGGATGATGCTCGCGGCGACCATGTGGCTCATGCGGATGGTGGGTGACGATCATCACGCGCATTACGACGCCTGGGTCTTCGTCCAACTCACGGCGAAGCCGACGCTCATCGCATTCATGCATCGTTGCTTCGACGCACGTCGGCACATCGTGCAAGCTGCGACCGTAATCACCGACAAGTTGGCGAGTCCCCCCATCACTTTGATCGACCCTCCAATGTATGTTCCCGACTGGGCGTCCATCGGTGTGAAGTTCTCACACGACGCCACGCTGTCTTCCACGATGGAGGCGAAGAAGGGAGAGCAGGTTAACCGAGCACCCATTTTCCAGGCCCATTTATAAGAAAACCAAACAGTCATTTTAACAACACTTCACACCAATCTATAGAGTGCACTTCTTACGACCCCATCACAAAAAAAGTGCACTCTATAGATTGGTGTGAAGTGTTGTTAAAATGACTGTCTGGTATTCTTATAAATGGGCCTAAAAAATGGGTGCTCGGTTAACCTGCTCTCTCGGTGTGCGAACGAACGGCTATCTACCGGGCGACAACGGTTACCACCCCTCGGAATGGGTAGTCGTCCCCTGGCGGTGTATCACAACACCCGTCGGAGATTCGGTTTGACAACAAGCAGAGGACGGCGAGGGGAGTAGTCGAGAGGGCTTTCGGCAGATTGAAGGGGATGTGGAGGTTGTTCCTTCGCTCCCACAAGACGAACATGGAGACATTGCCGCAGCAACTCGTCACCATCTGCATTCTGCACAACATACTCATCGACACGGGCATCCCGTTCGACGACAATCTGTTGTGGGAGGTCGGGCCGGACAGTGTTCGTCGCAGGGTGGACCTTGGGATGCACCGCCCGTTGAGGCAGATGTGTATGGAGTCATCGATGGGGGATGCACTGATCCTGCGGGATGCACTGGCGGAGCGAATGGGTACGCAGTGAAGACGAGCAGTCGTCGGGAGCGGGCGGCATGCAGAGAGAGAGAGAGAGAGAGAGAGAGAGAGAGAGAGAGAGAGAGAGAGANAGAGAGAGAGAGAGAGAGAGAGAGAGAGAGAGAGAGAGAGAGAGAGAGAGAGAGAAAGAGAAAGAGAGAGAGAGAGAGAGAAAGAGAGAGAGAGAGAGTGTTAATGGGTCGGTGGGCGTTGGTGTGCATGCGGTGGCTTGTCTGGCGCACTTTAGTTTCTTGTACTTTCGCATTGCGCCGCACTTAGGAGGTTTTCGCCGAGTGGGGTTTATGGCAATGGCACAGTCCATCTCGTCGGCGGCGGGGGTTTCGTGATGCGCGTGTGGTTGTAGGTCTTTGCGACGATTTGCAGTGTGGTGCCACCGTCAGTGACGGGTGTGAGTGACGGAGGCCATTCCGGGTGTGTGTGTTTTTTTTTTTTTTAGGCTGGTCGGGATCGAAGTTGCCTTCGAGGCATGTTACATCGTAACTGTGACGTGTTGTGCTTTTGCCGGGAGTGACAGCATGAAGATAACATATCTTGTAATCTTTTTTTCGATGTCGTGGAGGTTGTTCCCCGTGTTCGTGACGAATGACAAGTATTTTGTTAAAGAGAGAGACGCTGTGTGTGTGTCATTTTTATTGCCTTCATCTGTGCTCGCATTTGGAATGGGTTGTGTGAAAATTCATCAATCTGTGATAAAGCATTTGTTGAATCATACATCCGTCACCACTTTCCATGTCGTTGCAGCCCTGACAATCGTGAATGCAAATGAAAAGGGAACGCAAAGGAGTCGACATGAAGCTGTAGACATCATCAATAACGAGAGACACAAGAAACGACAACATCGTCCAGACATCATGAAAAGCAACGAACACAAGAAGCGACAACCTCCTGAAGTAGGGTCGTCATCAATACCAATGACAGGTGTCACATGTTGGTTGTTACAGACGCAAACATCGATTTCTTAAAACCCAAAACAGATAACAGAAAGAAAAAAAAAAGTAAACCATGACAAAAACATACGATAATTACACACCCCCACGGTGACCTGTCCGCCACGGTTGGTCTGCCGTCGAAAAACAAGCCATGGCAGAGCAGCATCACGCAAGGAAAAACTACATAGACGACTAAAAGGCGTCATCGACCCCCCCCCCTTCCCTGTTCGTCGCCTTTCCCG